GCTTATTTCAGAACTGCAACTGAGAACACTTGAGACGGCGATGGGTGGGGGGTGGGGAGGCAAACGGTGTGCGACGGTGTGGCTTCTGAATAAATGAAAATAATTTAACACAGTTGTTTATACTTTTAGCAGCTCCTTTAATTCCACAGCTGAGCTGCTAAAAATGACAGATTTTCTTTTCTGGATCTCTGACAGACGGACTTCAATCTCTGAACTCGTAAAGTTCTTCTTTTTAGTTTTCGCTGTCATTTTCATGAATAGACACTTCCTTGTATCTGAGGCAGGAAACATAGCCTTATATGGTGTTTTTGGGGTGGTCATTCTGCTAATCTCCTCTCGCGTGCACGAGGAGCTGGATACGAACAGGTGGAATTTACGCAGCTCATTTACACACTTTTCCTGAAGATAGAAGAGTTTATTGAATCTGACGTGACATGTTCGTATGAACCCTTTGTACGAACAAAAGTAAGAGAAATTTAAGATGAGAATACGAACATGTTCTTGCATGAGGCCCAATGATCAGTTTAAACCTTGAGTCCTGTAAGTGTTAAAGAACCTAGCAACAGCTGATTAACCAATCTTGCACTGTGGGTACAGCAGTCCTCTGCTGAAGAAGCTGCTGAGGACCCTCTCAAGAAATGTGAATGGTTATCAATGATGTTTTTTTAATGCTGCCTTCAACTTTCTCCCACCTACTTCCTGACCAGTTTGTCTAGTGTCATCTTTCTCCAATCGTCCACTGCCTCTGCAGAAGTCTGTAAAAAGCATTTGATTTCAAAAGCCTTCCAGATCTCTGTAGCAGTGTCCTCCACACTCCAGACAACCCTCAATCACCTCAGCAGATCAAGGCAACTTTAACTGTTCTTACTCAGGACATCTGCGTAGGTGGACCGGTGCAGTATGACGTCCAACAATGGCTGTGTCATCAGACAACCTCCAGAGGCTGTAGCTGTTTGTGTTGTGTGAGTGTGTGTTTAACATAAAAAAATAAGGGAAGAGCTGTGATCCAACAGTGAACATGCAGACATAAAGGCTCATACACTGGTTATCTATTTGTGCTAAAGGTGCAGGTGAAAGGTGAAACCACATGATGCTCTACTCCAGTTGCTTGCAGCTTTTCCCCGAGCAGTAAAAGTTGCTGTGATTCTTTTCAGTAACTCAGATTACACTGTGTGCTATATGAAGACAAAAATGTAGAATATTTGAAGCTGACCAATAAATCCTAATTTAAATACACTATTTTCAAAAAAGGCACTTCACAAGTGGCAGACAGCTGCAGTACAGGATTGATTGTATTTAATGACTGCAGAGCACCAATTCTGTTGTAGTTTTTTCCCATTTTATTTTTCATACCATACCATACCATACCATACCATACCATACCATACCAGACCAGACCACTTTATTTCTAAAGCACTTAAAAAACAACATTGCAGCTGACCAAAGTGCTGTACAAATGTATAACATAAAACATCAAAAAATAAAACGACAATACAAAAATCACATATACCAAAAAAAAAGTACAAAATTAAGACACAGATGCAAAATCACTCTGGGTTAAAAGCCAAAGAAAAGAAATGTGTTTTTAAAAGAGTTTTAAAACAGAACGAGTTGGGGCCTGCCTGACCTCCAGCGGCAGGTCATTCCATAATTTAGGGGCCAGAGCTGGAAAGGCTCTGTCTCCTCTGGATTTGTACAGGGTATTTGGGATTACTAAAAGGTTCTGGTCAGATGATCTAACAACATGTGATGTATGTAAGGGTGAAGTAGTTCAGACAAATAAGAAGGGCTAAGACCATTAAGAGACTTAAAAACAAACAAAAGAACTTTAAAATGGATTTGAAACCGAACAGGTATAGCCAATGAAGAGAAGCCAAAACTGGAGTTATATGCTCTCGTTTACCTACGCCAGTTAAAAATCATGCAGCAGCATTTTGCAGCAGCTGCAAATATGAGAGAGAAGCCTGTTCCGTTTCTGTCCATACTGACCCTGTATAATCACAATTTGTTCATAGTTTTTATTTTACTCCAAGCGGATCCTTTCCCTTTTTTTGTATGTGTAGCATATAAAACAAATCAGATCAGCTTAAATCAATTTAAATATTACAACAACCTACAGACACAAGAAGCTTATTAAATGCTTGACTCACATACTGCCCCTACTCCCTGTTGCAGTCCTGGCAACTACGGTAATAAAATATTTGTGCAGGATGGAAATTACAGTAGCCTGTCTAAGAATTACCTAAAAGTCTTTTTCAATGTTTCTCGTCATTCAGTTACCATATGCATGTCATTAAAATATTAGAAAAAATGTTTATTTGTGTTTTATTTCTGTAAAAATGTGATGGGATGGAAATTATGGATTACTAATAAATTTCACCAGGACT